GGTTCGAGTCGGGCTAGAGGTGGAAAAAACTTTATAACCTACAGGTGAGGAGCCAAAATCGAACACGGAGCCTCATGGAAGTCCAAGTATAGTACAAATTTGATAGGAAATTCCCAGAAAAAGATCTAACTATAGAGAGTTGGCATCATGTTTAGCAAGCGATATCATAGAAGGTCTGGACAATAGGTTGCGCATATTAATCTGTGGAGATCAAAACTATAAAGAGTTGGCATTACAGTTGGCAAGCGGCGTCATAGAAGGCTTAGAACAAATAGGTTGCACATATAAATCCTTGAGGCACTTAGGTAATACCAATAACCCAGATGGTCTGGGATCTTGTTTGGGAGAGTAATACTAATGTTCTAAACTAGAAGTAATGAGTGAAGCAGTGGATATAGTGACAAATCTGCATAGTAGTACCAACAACTTAGGGGTCTGGGATCTTGTTTGGGAGGGTAATACTAATGTCCAAACTAGGAGTGATGAGCGAAGCGGTGGATATAGTAAAGATCTGTGAAAAAGGATTGGTCTAATTAAATTCTGGAAATACCTCTGGCACCTATATAAGGTTAGAAGTTGCGTTAGGTATTGCGTCATACATTACTAACTTCAGTAATGAGTGCCATGCCGGTGTGTTGTTAGTCAAGGTTCCAGGTCTCCTTGCTGCACCAAACTGGAAGTAAAAACAATCGTCAGTAGTATACCCACATGTAAAAATGGATATACTGGGAAGCTTTCAGCACTCATGCTATAAACAATACCAACTTTGGTAGCATCATAAAGGCAAGTAGTACACTGCAAAGTAACAACCAGAAATCTGGCTGTGCCCGTTTGAGAAGGTTGTGGCTTGAGATACAGATCATGTTATGGCAGCACCCCAAAAGTTGGCTTGAGATATGAACATGATAATGGCAGCACAACATGTATCCAAATCAGAGTGGCACTAAATCAAATATAAGGCTATATACACCAATTTGGGAGCAACAAGGGTGAAAAACTGCCAGAATAAACCAAATTGGGAGGAAAAGAAAGTTACTGCAAGAAGTGGATAGGGGGACAAAATACTAATAACAATATAGAAAACTATATGGGATCTTTGCTAGGATTTTTTTTTCTAAAAATAGATTTATTATGTTTTTCTTAATAAAAATCTTGTGTAACAATGGCTTGTAGGGTCATTTTTCTAGCAAAGATCCCATATAAAGAAAAGGTGGGTTGTATACTAGCTGGAAGTTGATTAATGGAGTAATAGCTATTAATTAAATTCTAAGATATAGCAAAAATACGACTAAATTGCTTAGGGTGGGTGTCATTAGATAAACTAATATAGCACAACTTAATTCCTGTAATATACAATATGTAATAGGTTCTTAAGTTTTTAATTAATAAAAATTACAGCGTATAAGCAATTTACTAATAAAAAAAAAAAAAAAAAAAAAAAAAAAAATAGGTGAAATGATGGAACGAAAAAAGAGTAGAAAGTAGATGAACTTTGAATTAATTACTAAAATTTTTTTTTTCGAATTTATAAGAACAAAGGAGTAAATTTATATAGTAAATGTGTATATGCTAAATGAGATAAATGGTGAGATAGCTCTAGTATCTGGCAATAAACTTGGGGATTCGCCATCTAATCGATATCTGCCTAGCCGAACAGAACTTAAGAATTAACTTACTTGTACAAAGCGTGACCTCAATATTGCTTTAAGCTCAGGTATTCAGCTTAGTACTAGATGCAATCTCTTGATAAAAAACAATGAGAGCTTTTCAGAGTGTATATGCCAGCTTGAAAATGAGGCAAGAGAACTCAAAAATCAGATTACTTACAAAGATATTTCTCTTACAAGTGCTAAAAGCAAGATTACTGCAAAATTGAAAGAGATACAGGCTCTTTAATTAAGAGTAAAAGAATTGGAGCAGAATCTTTCTTTAGTACAAGATGAGTTATCAGAAATGGAATCTTTCAAGAATGAATCCAAACTAGAAAATACTAATCTATTTTTAGCAAAATTGGACTTAGAAAAAACTCTGTCTAGAGAAAGAAATGAATTGACACAGATAAAAGATGATTTAGTTTCAGCATGAAAAGCATTATCTAAGAAAGATTTTCTCCTTCAAGAAGCTAATGCTTGTTTAGCAGAGCAGATTTCGAAAGCATCCAGCAAGACCAATAGGGTAATTGGAGGTGTTAGTGGACTGGAGAAAGGTAATGGCATCACTAGGCCTGAAACAACCTCAGTATCACCCAATTCCTTCTTTTAGCAGAATGTGGTCTTCATTATAATAATGATATTACTAATCATATACTTCCTATGGTGCATATCCTTTTATATATATTCTTTTATTTCACTCCTTAATAAAGAAAAAAATATAAAATACCCTTAAATAGAAATCAGAGTTATGGATTTCCAATCCATCATACAAAAGAACCAAAAAAAGAACTACCACCTATAAAACTCTACCTTATGAATATGGACGAGACCACAAAGCATGAATCATCCCAAAATATTGAACATCCAGCAATGTTATGGCCTTTTAGCATGATAGTCAGCAGAAGAAGTAGTACAGGTAAGACCAATTTACTAGCAAACCTTGTTCTTGGAGATAAATATGAGCATATATATAAAAGACAAAAAGAAGGATCCAGATATATTAGATGCGATAATTTGATAGTTTGTGGTTACCATCCTGATGAGCCAAAATGGGTATTTGTTAAATATATGTATGGAATAATAGCAAGTAATCTCAAAGTGCCCTATTACAAGAACATTAGATTCAGCTACATATCACTAGAACAAATTCCTAGTGTGAAATCATTTTCATCTGAGAGGAGCACCATAATCATTTTTGAGGATGTATGTATTGCTCCTGAGTCTATCCAAAATCGAATTATTCCATTTTTTACACATAGGTGACATCAAAATATTTCTCCATGCTATGTTACTCAGAAATATCATCATGTACCAATTATTATTTATGAGAATATCTCCCTTCTAGTGATGTTTAACTCTGGTAGTTCACGTGAAGAAATTTCTAAAATTCTTCGGCAATATACTGATAATGTTAAAAATGCTTCAATGGTTATTAACAAATACCTTTGCAAGGGGGGAATTTATTGTGTTTGATTTAAACAAGACAGAAGATAATCCACATGCAATTAGATTAAGATTCGATACTCCATTAGATCTGCATAAAGAGATTCAGCTATGACAAAAAAACAATGAAAAAGCTATCATTAAATGATGCATGTATGATTGCTAAAGAACGTGATGGGATATGTCTTTCAACTGAATATAAAGATAACAGAACTCCATTAATGTGGCGCTGTTCTAAGAACCATGTATAGAGTGCCCCACTTTCTAGAATTAAAAATTTAGGACAATGGTGTCTACAATGTGCAGGTAATATGAAACTTACTCTCAAGATCGCTAAACAAATTGTGCTATTAAGACATAGAGAATGTTTATCAGAAAGGTATGTAAATCAACAATTGCTATTACTATGGCATTGCACTAAGGGTCATTTATGGAATGCATCCTTTAATAACGTAAAAAATCATAGTAAATAGTGTCTATATTGTGCAGGAAATGCCTGTCTTACTCTTGAGGATGCTAGACAAATTGCACTTAGCCAAAATGGTAGATGTCTTTCAACTGCATATAGCAATTCTAAAACTCCGATGACATGGAAATGCCATCAAGGACATATTTGAAATAGTTCGTTTAATCACATTAAAAATTCTGGTTCATGGTGCCCATATTGTGCAGGTATTGCAAAACTAACTCTTGAAGATGCAAAGCAAATTGCACGATCTAGGGGCGGGGAATATCTTTCAACCGAGTATAGAAATATAGATGAACCACTTACATGGCGTTGCCAATTTAGCCATCAATGGCAAAATACATTTTATCACATTAAAAATAGAGAGCAATGGTGTCCATTTTGCATTGGTCGTTATCAAACAATTGAGGATATGCTTAAACTTGCATGAAAAAAAAATGGAGATTGTCTTTCAGATCGATACTATAATTCACACACAAAGCTAGAATGGGTTTGTGAAAACAAACATCGATGGGAAGCTATTCCTAATAGTATTCAACAAGGAACTTGGTGTCCATTCTGTCCAAAATATAAGAGAGAAAAGCTATGTCATGAGATTTTAACAAAATACCTTGGCGCCCCTTCACTAATCCGCAGGCCCGAATTCTTAAAAACACAAGAATATCCAAATAGACTAGAACTCGATATATTTTATCCGCAATATGGCTTTGCAACCGAAGTACAAGGCATACAACACGAAAAATATCACGAATTCTTTCACGGAGGAGATCCCAATAATTTTATCAAACAGCAAGCACAAGATCAACTCAAGAAAGAATTATACGAAGAAAACTGGATTGCACTAAGGTATGTTTGGTATTACGAAGACCTATATATAGTTATTCCTGAGCATCTTCGAGAATTGGGTCTTATTGAGTAAACTTAAGACTTTAAATGCTTTTGTGATATGATGTGTTTTGCAAATGATGTTCTGCTTTATTATTTCAATGTTTAACATAAATTTTACATATTTTTATGCTATAGCCACATCACGTGAGTAGTCTTAAGTGCTTTTCTCATTTTTCTTGGAAGAGACTGCAAGAAAAAAAAATCATAATAATTAAATATAAAGATTCAGGAAACTAAGAGATATATTAAATGATCGTTAACCTCTTTTTTCCTTTGGAGCCACTATAGGACTCAATTTGACAGATTTGTTAATATGAAAATCTTGCGTATTCTCTACATTTTCTCTGAAAACTTGCGAAAGTCTAATAGCTGTTTGAGTTAGATTGGATGTTCGGTTTAGAAGATTCTACAAAATATCAGTCAGAAGTTAAAAAAAAAAATCAATTAAAAAAAACAGATAGGGAAAAAATTGTTTACTCGATGGATTAGGAATTTTTTACATAAAGCCATCGCAGTTATAATGTCATCATCCTTTCTTGGTAGGTCTTGCGAAGACCATTCCCACATACCGTACAAATCACCATTGATTTGTATTAGAATGTAGAATCGGATTTTCATCCCGATTACTTGGAAAAAGGGAATCGGTACAGACTTCAATACGTTCTCAATATTTGAGGGAAGAGGATTGCGCCCACTTTTTTCTATGCACTTCGTTTGGAAACTAATATGTTGCGATCGAGCAACATTTATGACATCTACGAAATCGGTGACACTTTTTTTATGATGGTCCTTACGAGTGGAGCCGGTGTTCTCTCCAATGCCAATCTCGTGCCCATTTCTCTACAGTTTACTATCAGTTTATATAACACATTCGCACTAAACACCAATCAAAACAAAACTTACCCAGAAAATAAAATCACACGCCTTTCCAGTTGCTCCTGATTCCGACCGGGAAGACTTCTCGTCTCTGAATGACTTTCTCCACTATAAAGAATTGTTAATTATCTTGGTAGAATAGAATTAACAAGGAACACAGCTTCTTACTATATATATTTAACACCAGGCGTTTTTGAGAACGGACCAATTAGGTGCATATCAACAGTTCGTTCTATATTAGTCGTCCCACCGTATATATGTACCCAACTATAACTACAATGATAACATTCATGGCTTAATGAAAAGAATGCTGACAAGTAAAATTAAAGATTATGATTAAGAACTTACAAGGCATCCATACATTCTCCAACGTACTGGGTATCTTTGTCATATATTTTCGCGTCTATTTTAAGCAAGGAACAAATACCTTCAATCCCCCGAGCCCTCTTCTCCTTACTGAGCTTTCTGAGACTGAAAGTGCTACATTGAAGCGTCTCCAGAAGTGTTTTAGCAGATGGGCCCAAATGTGATTCTATATTTATAATTTCAATAGTCGTTTGTTGGAGATTTTGAACTTCCGTATCTGATAGAAATTCTTTCGCACGAGGATGTTTTGGGCACGGAGAGACATTCTCTGCTCTAAGATCTACGACACTCCAACAAAGCGGGCTATAATTTGAATGCATGTTAGTGAAGAACTCAAAAGGATGCAAAAAAGATTAGTTTGTACTTACGTCATCAAACAGGCCGTTTGATTTTCTCGTGCAGTTTCAATTCCCACTATCAGTCTATCATAAAGTATTGCTGTGTTGTCAATCTTGAATGGCGAAGAAAAGAGTTAGTAAGAAACTAAGAAGTTACAAAACAATCATGATTTAAGAACCTACCCCTTCGTCCTCTTCTTCATCTTCCTGATCTTTCTTTCTTTTCTTGGATTCTTTTAATAGATGAATATCGAAAGCTCCAGTATTATTAATTCCATTAATGGTATTAGCTGAAAACGTCGGTTGATGGAAATGGATCGAAGGCCCGCCAACTTCTTTAGATTTACGCTCCTTCTCCTCCTTCTCCTCCTCCTTCTCTCTCCTCCATTTTCTTGCCTCTTTATAATCAGGTTTTTTTCCCTAAGAGAAAAAAAATGTGAATTATAACATCTTTGATAAATAAATATCCACCGATTGTCTCGTAGACTTAACATCAAATGTAACTCGTAGTTTATTTGGTGCACCGGTAGTGCCAGCGCTAGGTCATCTCATAGATTTGAACACAAAGAAACTCGTAGTTTGCTCTGTGCCCCACACTGGCTTTGTGGCTCGTCTCGTAGACTTGAATGATAGAAAGTCTCGTAGATCTTCTACCACGCCACTTTACACTAAAGCAAGCGCTAAGCATACCTTTTTATATTTAAAACCTTAGATTGTTGGCAAAAAAAGAATTGACCTACACATTTATATATATATGATCAAAAGCGCGTTCGCGTTTACAGGTCGATCAGATGAATCAGATGATCGCTACCCGATTTCACATGAGGCTCCGTGTTCGATTTTGGCTCCTCACCTGTAGGTTATAAAGTTTTTTCCACCTCTAGCCCGACTCGAACC